ACTCGATCGCCCGCAGTTGCAGCAAGGGGCAAATGTCTGACTGCCACTGCGACACGAGGAGAGTCGGTCGTGACTCCGATGCGAGTGGTGAATTCTTTTGGGGTGGCTGTGCCGATAATGTCCATTACGCCGCTACCTTCGCGCGGCGTTTTATCGACTCAAAGGACCGCAAGTCCAGGGATGGAAGAGCTCTGATGAATCTGCACAACAACCGGGCTGGCAGGAAGGTAACCCTCTAGGCTAATAATGGGTTGCTTTAGCAAGTGCAAAGTGTAGTAAACTTAGTCTAGACCGAGTCTGAGGCGACACTCGGAACGGCACGATAAAAATAAATAAATGAAAATTTTTTATTCTGTATGGCTAGGGCAGTAGAATCCAAATGGTTCCAACGAATCTTCGTACAGACCTTAAAGTGTCTTCTAATTTGTCAGGAAACCAATATAAGATGTAAGCGTAAGTTTAAGATTAACTGTCCCGTCCTCGGGGGGAAGCACTTTTCGAAAAAGGGTTGGCTACACTGCCAACTGAAACCTCGTAGAATACTTGTAGATGTTGCTGGCCATGGTCATCTGCGATTAGGTACGATTAACAGTTCCCTTAAACTAACATCAATGATGTCCAACATGTATTCCGCAGATCAAACTTTACCATTCTGAACGGTGTGGGCGTATGGTTTGGAAGAGCTCACTACGCAAATGGCCTTCAGACTTTAAACTCGAAAACAGGCAAAGAGTTTGAGTCAGATGCGATGACTTTTGGCCTGGTCGAAATATCCTTTAGGTTATGTCCAGCTGAACGATTGTGCAATTCCAAATAATGTTGATGATTTCAGAACTAAATACGGCACTGCGTGCTCCAGCTCATGCTTTACTCAGATATGAAATGTAGCTCTTTTCAATGTGTCAAGTTTGTGTGGGTCACTCAACAATCCTTGCGAACTTGATCGAACTCGACGCCGCCCATCCATCCCTTGAGCAATTTTGCCAGTTCAAAGAAATCATTGCTGAATCAGATCTTTCCGCAGCTCTGAGCTCCTTTCTCGCAGCTCCTCGACTACACACTATTCCCCTGTCGTACGACCCATTACAATCGAAGAAACGGTAAATAGCCTACTAAATTTAATACCAGTAGTTAGCCGAAGATAATCTGTTCTGCTAGATCAAATCGCTTATGTTAATATACGCACAACTGAACGTCAGACCTGGAAAATAACAGGTTTTTCAAAAAGACCGGAAAACCATTGACGATCTGACGAAATCGTAACGTCACCGCGACATATGTGACTCAGTGGCATTTGCATGGAACAAAAGTCCGTGCGGAGGCCATAGCGGTTAAAAGGACTTGATGTTGATATTTGTCTGATAGTAGTGTTGAGGCAAGGTTATATACCGGCGAGTGCGTCCACATGGAGACAATCCTCAGATTTGAGGGCTAGCTGCGGAATAACCGCAAAACCCAAGAAATAAGCAGTCGTGGAGAATGGGGGCAGTGTTACGAGGGTGCGGCGAGCCAAATTCTGGTAAAGTTGGCTCTAGAAAATACCGCAAAGCCCAACGACAGCGCGATGATATGGCGAGTACATGCCGCCAGAAAACAAGCATGCTCCTGACCCCAACGAGCTATGGCTGGTTCCCGACCCGGTCGAGCAAGACAGGTTCGATTCAGGCAGACAGCCGGCCTTAAAAACCAAGCGTTCCCTACCAGTGATGCGAAGCAGCAAGTCCCCTTGGCTTTCAGAAATGAGCAAGAGAGCCAGTGCATGCGACCACAGCAATCCCGAGAAAATGCGAATGGAACTTGTCACTTGGAACGTTGGAGTAACGACGGTAAAGGACACAGAGCTAGCTGAAGCTCTTGAGAGAAAAAAATTCACATCGCTTGCATTAAGTACGCGAAATGGAAAGGTGAGAAGCTGAAGGAGATCGGCCCAGGCCCTAAACTTATTCACTGTGGAACATCAAGCAGAAGAAAGGGAGTTGGAGTGGTATTGAATGAAACGATCAAACGCAGGGTATTCCAAATCAACCGAATTAACGACAACACCATGGGCGTTAAGCGGACCTTGAAGAGGAGAAAAACATCTATGACATAGCAAAAACCAGAGAAAGAAGAGCAACAGACGTCGGTGATGTGAGCTGCCAAAATACGAAAGTGGAATGGTGCTGACCGATGAGAAAAATATTCGCAACCGACCACGAAGGCACTTTCAAACGATAATAAACGAGGAACATCCCATAAAACCAGGACCTAGTCGAAAAGATCTCACCGGAGGAGGTGGAACAAGCCTTGAGCAGAATGAAAAATAAAACGACCCTTGACCCGGAAGGAGTTGCCATAGAAGAATGGAAGGTACTGGGACAAGGAGGCGTTACTTGGCTCTGCGCGCAATTGATCACAAATAAGAAATGTGAGAAAGTGCCAGAATCACGGAGGCAGAGCATCTTGATGCCAATGTACAAAATGAAAATGGATGTACTCACCTGTGAAAACTACCCGGGAACTGAATTGCTTAGTCAAATCACGAAGATATATAAGAGAATGTTAGACAAAAGACTGAGGAAGGAGGTCGACATCACAGTGAACCAATTTCGCCTTGTGCCATTCAGATCAACAGCGGATGCTATCTTACCTTTAAGATCAGTCCTCAGAACATACGGAGAAGGCAGACAAGACATTCACACGATGTTCCTAGACCTGGAGGAAGCATATAACCGAATCCTGAGGCAGACAATTTGGTGGAACAGGAGAAAGAAGCTACTGTAAGAAAAATATGGCAGGCATCCAAAGGCACGTACGACAGAGTGACAACGATCTATACATATATATAAATTTTGCAAATTGTCTGATGCTTTGGATCACACACAAATCTCTCTTCAGAGGTTCATTAAAATAAGGCTGTGCCCGTTTTACAGAGTCACACAAAAACGATTATATATATA